AGTTCAAGAAGTTTTGTAGATATAACCAAAGAGGTCTGCTCTTAGCACCTCCTTCTACTTCATGTTAGAGAAACATACTAAAAACAATGGAAAGGGAATGATGTTACTACAACTTTTATTACCACACCTTAGGCCTCCTTTGCTGTAGCTGCTCAGAAGCCCCGGACAGCTATGCCTTCATGACCAGGGAGTCAGTTGCAGGATTTTACTCCCATGCAATGGAAAAATATCCCTCATGGAGCCCTAAAATCCTAAATTGGGATGTGAAATGATTCCCCAGTCTGCTTGATTCCTTCTCACTCAACCCCTGTCAGAGACAGATAAAGATAAGAGAGAGATGTCAGAAAACGGTGACTGAAATCCCTACCATCTTTCTTCTCCTTCACTTTGCCAGCAGAGCCACTTTCAGGCATCCAATTAAAAACAACACTAGCAGGGCTTTTTTACTGGGTCAAGACATGTAAGAAATGGTTCTAGACTCAGCTCTTGACTGAGTACAGGCACAGCTGCAGGATAACATGGATTATTATAGTTTAAGATGCTGTGAGTAGAAAGTGAGTCCTATAAATTTACTGCTCTTGAAAGAAGAAAAGAGACTTTCTTCTCCTTTAAAACACTACTGTCAGCTCACTCTCCATAAGAGCCCACTATCTCTGAAATGTGTAAATGGGACCTTCAACTTTTACTAAGAAGTAAATTCTATTTACTCCAACACTTTTTTTTAGATAATGCAAAAATATATTTTTTTAATGATTGCCTATCTCTGGAGCTCTTTCCTATTGACTGAGCGAAACAGAAATCAACAACCAGGGTTTTTTTATTCTTCCATATTTGCTAGTGATTTAGGCTGTTGTGTTCCCTTATACCTAATGAGGTCTAGAAGCAGAAGACCCCTTGATCTCTCAAGACCTATTAACCCAAAGTCTGAGGCTAGAATTGCAAATATATACTATGTTACAGCAAACAAAATCTGTCTAGAAACTCTGTACATTCGATCCCCAGTCACATGAGTTTCAAAGAAAAAAAAAGCATGAAAAAATAAAACAAAAGTATAGGGAAAAGCAGCTAGCCTACACAGAGTGTTGTATTGACTTGCATGTTGTAAAAGAAAAAAAAACAACAAACAACTCACCACATCAGTTTCTAAATGACACAGTTCATTCCAATCCATTTAACCAACACAAAATGCTGGACCTACATGAACAGCAAAATTTGCAAACAATACAGACAGCTCTGCCAGCAAGTCTCACACAATCACAGTATCTGTCTCAATACAGTTGGTCTCACAGCAATACAAATTTCAGAAGGTAAAACAAAAATGAAGTAAGATTGCACTGTTAAACATTTTCAGTTTGGTTTCCTTTACTGTGGTCTTTTTAGCAAACTTATTTACTATAATTACATATTTTTTTAAACACTTTGCTGTTATTTCCTTGATTCCAGCACTAAAATTTACCACAAGTGAATGGATTCTGCATTTCTTCTTCTAAATCCCACATGACATTTCAAGCCTGTGTGCTGCCTCCTTAGTCTGCTGAGCTGCAAGATGAAAGACTTAACTTGGCTTTTTTAAGGACAAGCATACCCAAGAAGACACGCAAGAATTAACTACCTAGGCAACCTCCATTAACAAGCTTAAAAATTTTACTTTGCATATTCTGCAGTTATGAATGTATATGGGTTACCAAAAGACAGAAAACCTGATGTGTGAATATTCTACTTATATTATGAAACATTTTCTATAACTGCAGCTAAATAAATGCATTAATTATGTTTAAAGCCTAAGGATAAAAAAAGTAGTCTTTTTCCTTAAAAATACTTCAACTGCAACAACTGACACTGAATTATAAACAATGTTGCTGATAAATATTGATGATAAAATTTATTATTAAAAATGTTCAATTTAAAGTTCTGCCTATTCAAATAAATACAAGTCAAATTTCAAAAAGCATTTGCTTAATCCTGGTCTAATTTCCTGATACAACTGTTCTCCAGTTCTGGTAAAAGTTTACAGTCAGGATTAATTCATAAGTATTCAGGCAGACCTACCTTGTAATACTCTATTTGATTACATCTGAACACAACTGTCTTTATAACCTTCAGGAGGCGCTGACATCTCCTATAACTTGTTAAAGAAAAACTAGTTCCAAAATATTCTGTAGCAAGCAAAGCAAGGCAAGCATGACTTAAAATACAGATTTAATTGTGTCTCCATCCAGTCCTGCTACCACCAGATTAAAAAAAAAAAAAGTTTGAGTGTTACACTAAAAAGAGCAAGACTAGTATCACTAATTTCTTTCTTTGCCATTAATGCTAGAAAATAGGATATATTTCAGTTCATGACTCGCAACATCCTAGGAGAATGGGCTCCCGAGCAGCTTAATGTTTTAACATCTTTAATATTACTGTGTAACACCTCCTATAAGGCTTTCTAATACTGATATACTTCGACATATAATGTCAATATACCACACAAAGCCCAGCACAAAGAACAAAAGAAAACCTTTGTTTGAAAAGCCTTGAGAAAGCCATGTCTTTTATTTATATCAGAGAACCTTTCTGTGACAGCAGACATCTGCAAGTCACACTTCCCTCCAGAGCAAGCCTCAGTGAAAGAACACCTAAGACAGAGCTTGGGATACACCTCTCAGACTATGGCACACAGAAGTGTTTCTCCATCCAGTCTTTAGATAACAAAGGTAACATCCCCTTATCTTGCATTTTAAGCCAAGATACACACATTGACCAGGTGAAAGAAGCCATACAAGTCAGGGAAGAAGAGGAAATAACAACATGAAAGAATCAAATCTTTATTATTAATGAAGAATAAGATGCTATTATAGCTCAAGGTCACATATGATAAAACAATCTTCACTTAACTCCACGTCCGTTACATACTGAGAGAATAAAAATTAAAACATAATAATTGTTATTATTTTTTCTTTAAAACCATCTGTAGAATTGCAATTTGCCACATGCTGAAAGATCATATTCCATACAGGCCCAGCAGGCTCTGCCACTCAGGGTTTGGAGTGAGAGTAGTCAGGGGACACTGGGGTCAAACGAACTCCTAATATCACGTGAGAAAATAGGATTTGGTAGAACCTGCAATATCTCTTAAGTTTATTTTAAAAAGAACAATTTAAATAACAACAGTTACTAGAATAAACACGGTGTTACTGCAACTTAGTTCAAATCTATCTGGCAGAGTTTCTGTTTGTAGAATGAATAGTATATTAACCATACAACCTACCACAAGAAAACAGTGAAAAAAATAGCACTATTAGAATAAAATATGTTGTGAGTGAAAGTGGGGGATGGAATAAGAACCACAATCTGTGCATGGATGGAGAGGGACAGAAGGGAAAACAGAAAAAATTAACCTTTAATCTCTCTATCTGTTCAGAACAACATTCTTTCATAAAACTTGATGAAGTTAGCGTGCCAACATAAAAGAAGCAAGCAGCTTTCCTAAGTTCATCAAACCTATATGGAGTCAATATTTAGTTACATCTTCAATATCTATTAATTTTACATGTACAATACCATATCTGTCCATTTTATAATATTATCTTCCCACTGGAAGAGCTGGTGTAATGCACTATGCAATTTTCACAGTGAGAGTAATTAGTATAATAAAATCAAAGTTAAAACAAATGTTGGGAAAAAAGCTACATTAAAATCTAAAATAGATAAGAAAGCAATGAAAAAAGTTATGTTAATAGTCTCAAAAGTAAGAATACTCTTAACAAAGGTCTTGAACGGTTTCTTCAAAGTGAAACCAATTCTGAAATCATACACACACAAAAAAAATTAAATGAAGCACCATTAAATCTCTGTGAAGACCCAATATTTACTCTGTTTATCTGTTTTTCTCCATTTTAGATGGAGTACACATACTTCACCAGGAATCATTTTCAAAAAAAGGAAAAAGTTAAATAACAATGAAAAGCACCTGCATAAAAATGAATTAAAAGAAACAATGCATGTACAGTGCCAGGAAAAAAAAAAAAAAAAACCAAACAACTAAACAAACAGAAAAACCCCACAGTCTGATCCTGGGCAAAACCAACACTAGGCTACAAAGCATACCTGAAAAAGATAGCCACAGAAATAGTAGAACAGGGAGATACTTAATTCAGGTCTCCAGACAGAGACGTGGGTTCTCAAAAATATTCCCAGAACAGTATTTGGTATTTTAAACTATTTTTTCCCCCTTTCCCACCTTTCAGCAGAATGTAACCCCATTCCTATTGGAAAGTTGACAGCTCCACTTCATTGGCCTGCACCCCCGTCTAAACTGCCACACATTCTCATTTTGAGGTAACACACAAAACTTTATAAAGAGACACAAACACACACCGCCTTTAGCTTATTCTGCCATGGGGCCAGGGATGTAACAGACTGGAAGGCTGAGAGATTTGTAAAAACATAACTATTGCCTCTCCCAAGAGCTCCCTGAGCTCCCTCACCATTCACCAGAGCATCCTATGCTGAATTCTGACCTGCATCAATTATAACTGGTTTGTAAGTAAGGAGAACCTAATTCTGCCACCTCTTCACACACTGAACAGCAACTTATTGCCTAGGTGGTTCAGCAGATCTCAAAGGGATTCAAAGATATGATACTCTGATATAAGGATGACAGAATTTGTCCTTCTGAATTTCTTCTTTGGAAGATTATCATCTTCTACCTATTTATCTATCTATTGTTATTATTGTTATCTACCTATCTTTATGTCTCAGGTCTCAAAGTTTCTTTGTTTTTGTATTAGGACTAAAGAAATGCATCAATTCTATACGGAAAGCAACTTTAGATAGCCAGTGTACCTGTCTTTAGCAGCTGGTGAAGATGAAGAAATATTTTTAATTATTAAATAAATTAAAATTCAATTATTAATTAAAATGGAGAAGGACTGAAAACTTGTTACTAACTAAAAAGGCTTGCACTGTTTGTGGCAAAGAGATTCAGAAAGCTAAATTTATTTTTAATTATTTACCTGCAAGTACAGATAATCTTCCCTCAGCTCTGTTAGCTTTAGTCAGTGCTTTGTTTCTTCTCTTCAGGGACCGTCTGAAAGAAAAATTTTGACACAGTCAGCCCAGATATAAAAACCAGAAACAGAAATAAAATAAAAAGGAAGTTGTATCTAGAAGTGTGAAGGCATGTAAGGAAATATTGACAATTCAGCTGATCTTACAAATGCATCAGAAACATGATATATATATAGGAATATGTCCCTAATGCACTGTCACACGTGGCCAGAGCTCTGAGGACATAAAACTGATAGTGACACAAGACGAAAAATAAAAATGTCAAAGATCATGCAAAAGTAAGTATTTTAAACTCTACCATTACTACAGTTCCTAATATGGTTACATTGTTTTCCTCTTTCCATTTCAACTAAAACATTGCTCCATAGTTTTCTTTCCTCCCCAGAAAAAAATTTGTTTCAGCTTCCTATTCAAACTGTTGGTTTTTTAGCTGGACTAAAAGTCCAAGTTACCAGAACAAAAAGTCATATGGATGCACAGCATCATATAAAATGAAAATGTGTTACAAGTGGAAAATCATTCCCCCTCCCCATGTCCCACAATCAGAAAACTAAATAGATATCCTACTTACAATACACTTAATCCTTGATGATTTACACATCCATTGTAAAGCAAAATTTTGCTTAATTTTTCTTTCCCTAAAAAAATTAAAAATATTAGTTTCTTCCACATGTCCCGTTATCAGAGGTCATACCTTTCCCCAACAGCACCTTTCCAATACATTATACAAGAACTTTCTACTTCTACCTTAGCTTGGATAACATGTTTTCTTATATCAGCTCCACACTACTTTATAGCCACATGATACTTCCACATCTACTGATACTTTGATCCAGGAATTGCTTCTAGCAAATAATCACACAAGAAGTATTTATAAGAAAATGGTTAGTGAAATGGATTTCCAGGGAAGGACTTAAGCAATAGTCCCTGACTTGAGTAGAGCCAGCTCCTCGTATCGCCTGAGAAGAAAACCCATGCCCATAATCCAGAGAGCAGAAGAACTCGGATGCACCCAAGCAGCAGGATGTCTTTGATTTTGTATACCTGAGACATGGGGACTGGGTAATCAGAAAAAAAACCTCAGAGCAGTGTGCTAGCTGTGCACCAATCCCTAGCACTGAACCATGGAGAATCTGGGATGAAGGGCATAACCTTTACCACCACATGCTTGTATACACACTTACACACATTTTTTATGCATATTCACATGCACATTTACATATGACAAAAAATAAACTCAAGAGAAGAAAGAACTTTGCTCTAGCAAAATGCCTTGGATGCAATCGTGATTGGCAGTACCATTTGTAACCAACCTGCCAAACCAGAAATCACAAGTCAAGAAAAAAGATACAGGGCTGGCTACAAAGAGACTCTCAGTTGCTCTTAAACAAAATATCAGTCCTTGTTTTACAGCTAAATATGCTTCCTAAGTTAAAAATTTCAACATCCTCTAAAAGAGGGCAGAAAAAATACCAAAATAACTACATTACGTGGCCTGGTTGGATGACAGGTCTTGAGAAATATGACAATAGTGTAAATCACAGAGGAGGGAGAGGAATTAAACAGCCTGACTCTAAGGGGCATGAATTAAAAACTGGGATGAACTCAGGGAAGAGGGTGGCATAGGCTGAGCATCAGAAAACATTTCTGAACAGCAATACCATATAAAGTAGAATATATTTTCCCACAGAAAGGGAAGTTATTTAAGGCTAAATTTGATAAAACACTGGAAAGCACAGCAAAGAAAACATTTCTGAATTGATGAGGCCATAGATGGGAACACCTAATTAATTCTGTCCTTTATGCTTCTCATTATTAGATTTCTGAGTAAGATTGCAGTATAACAAAGAACCACATAGCAAAAATATGTTAATTTCTTATGAGGTTTTCATTATAAAAAATACCTTGGCTTTCATCAGCATTAAGGTTCAAAGTGTCATTCACATTTGATGCAACTATTACACGCTGAACTATTTAAGCACTATTGGTAATTTTAATCCTCTATTATTTATTCTCTTGCCTATTACTGTTACACAAAACTATCCTTTTAATTCTGGAGTTTCATAGCATTTTTATTTCAAGCATTTCAAAGTACTTTACCAACATATGTCCACTAACAACATCTTTTAAAATCAATATGGTATATATCAACAATGCATATCATCAATCCAGAAGTTATTCTGGGATTGCTGAACTGTCCAGCTGCTTCATATCAGCTGCTTAATTATCAGCCAACACAATGCCCATGAAGTCCTCTGCTGTTGCACACTGCCACAAGAAATTAGAAAGTTAAAACTGTGGCCAACAAGGAAAACAAAATTTGGTGTTTCTTTCAGTTCAGTGCCTGCAGCACAAGAGATCATGAACCAGTAAAGGTTTAGGATCAGTGGTAAAACAGGTATTCCCTTAGAAGACCAAGTATTACAACAGAAATGATTGGTTGAAATTTGGTTTTCGTATTATTACTATTCTTACTATTCAATCTTACTTTAAAAAATACCCAACATTCTGCAATTCAGTTGGAAAGAGATGGGGAAAACTCACAAAAACTGAGATAAGAGTTTTGTCATGGTTTTTCCTTCCCTTTGAACTTCTAGGCAAAATTTTTCAAAATGCATGAAGAATTTAGGAGTACAGCTGAATTTGAAAAATGGAAGTTTCTCCTCTTGAATAAAAATATTCCTTTCTTTAGGGCAACCAATTAAATATAAATATTTTAATAGCAGAGTGAGTCAAGGCCTCCTGTTAATACTGTGGAAATCTTATTCACCATAGGGAATGGTTAAATTATAGTTTGTTACACTTGTCACTGAAATCCTGAAATTCTTGTGATTTACAATCCTTCTTTAAACGGTCCTACTCTGCTGTATAGGATCTCCCTGTGCACAACACTGTCAATCAGGAACTAAGAGCAGAGAAGAAGAGAGACATCATACCACAGCAGCAGGGTAAAGTTAGCAATGCTGTCATAAACTGAAAAACAATAATTAAAAGAGATGATGATAATATCACAACAATCAATTATCATTCTGACCCCCAAAGAAAAATAACAAAAACCAACAGCAGTGTACCAGGAAAACACATGCTCTCTGAAAGTGTTCAGTGCCATGTCATAAAGCTGAAATAGTGCACTACAAGGAACTATTCGGCAACATACGACAAGACATCAAATATGCTCCAGAGAATAGAACAGCTGTTTCTTTTCACACCAGTCCACAGTCTCTGCAGGTATTTAATTCAAATTCCTCCTTTACTTTTAGCAGCTACATACTTAGAATATTAGTAAATGTTCCAGGTACGGATACTATTTTGTCCTTCTCAAAGTGCTTATTTATCCCAAGAGATGCAGAAAGGCAAGGCACATGCCACCTTCTTTCCTCAGACCAAATGGCGAAGGCAAAGACTTCTGCACAAATGAACACCCACAAACTCCTTTAGACAATAACTATATGTATCACTGCAAGTACAAAAAAAAATCTCCATAAAATATAATAATTAATCAGCAGTAAATTTTAAACAAGAGAGGTTTGGGGGCGGGGGGGGGTAAGGGGGGAGAATCCACCCATGTACTGACTGGTTCTGGCTTTTGGGGGCGGGGGGGGGTAAGGGGGGAGAATCCACCCATGTACTGACTGGTTCTGGCTTGATGACTGCATTAAATTCAGGTGTGGTTTTCCCCTAGGAATGAGGAGGTAGTTAATTAAGCGGCTATTAGTGCTTCCCCATACATAGGCACAGGACACAACAATGGTCATTTGAGCTGTGTCTGTCCTTCAAATCCTCTGCAGGCTTGCAGTGATGCACATATACAAAGGCCAGCAGAAACACGTGTACTCCAGTCACAGCAGAGGCAATGTCCACTTCCTGCAGAATGAAAGGACTTCTGAGACCATAATTCCTTGCTTCTGAGACCATAATCCACTGCTTCCAAGGAAATGCAATAATAAAATACATAAGAAAATATTAATTTTTCCAGATAAAAATGTCAATCCAACTGCATAAAGATTACAAGTTTCTGCTAAAAATTGTTCTTCCCTCCTTGAGTGTATTATGGGTTACACTACCTAAAGGAGACAAGAGGAAAGACTTCTCTCCTTTGATAGGTTTGCTTTGAATTTGATAATGCATTGCCTGATCTTATTGCTCATTCTAAACATATGGGGTTTCCAGGCTTCTTTAAGAGAAAAACATGGTTACCTAAAAAAAAAAAAAAAAATTAAAAAATGAAACTCACAGAAACTGTCAGGGAGATTCAGGAACAGGATTAGCACCAGAGGCTATTTCAAAATAATTTATAATTGCTTTTCAACCATTAAATCAATACTGTTTATGTAAACAAAATTTGTTTAATGCTTTCATCCTAATTACTCTCTCATCTTTTAGAGCTGAAGATCGTAACACGAAAACTTTATTTTCAACAATAACTGAAGGTTCTTGCAAAATTCCATGGAACAACTGCCACACTCATCCACAGAATGATGTCACATAACTTTGTTAAACTCTCAAACCTAAGTTTTGCTTATCCCAGTGTTGTAGTTGCTTACGTTTTTCTAGAAAAATGCAACATTTCCTCTTAACGTTTCTAGTCTGGGCTTTGATAAAGAGAATATCCAAGACATTTTCTATGTATGGAAAAACCTCCATTTCCAGAAGCCTAATGGGCTGCTAAAACATACCTGTAGAGATGAAGTTGACATAATTCCATGTGTGTCTCTATTTACATTCAGAAGCACAGAACTATTTTAGTTCTTTGCAACAAACTGTAAATTGTATTAGATGCACAACTGACACAGATAATAATACCCAAAGCGCATATACGATAAAACGAGTTTAATTAGTAGCAGCAATTAAAACACTTTTGCCAGAGACATGTAGAATATCTACATGATAGATATTTATACATCGACTATATAAAAAGAATACTGTGGAGAAAGTAGGAACTCTGTCATGATTATAAATAAATTGTATTATTAATAACATTAAAATATCAGTATTAAATATACCTGCAGCACCATACCTGTAAGGTACAAAGTTATTCCGCAGTGGTAAAACTTTCTGCAAAGGAGGATGCTAGATACGTGCTGTTTCCAGCAACAAAATGATCAGGATGCCTCTGGTATAAACAGCAAAAGAAGTTCTTAAGCAGAAAAAGAGGTTCACACTCACAGCAGAGAGGAAAGACCAAAAATTAGCAAATAAACAGGTAGAATCTACTTTTTAAATGGCTTCGGTCTGTTGTTCTGTGGACTCTAAGATACACAGGCACTTGTACACTGATTCCTTACTGTGTCCTACCCTCTCCAGTTTCAGCACACATGGGGCCTGTGTGTTAAATTTACCCAAAGTTCAACACAGTTATTCATTTTCTGAAAACCTGTACAAATGGAGAACCTTAGAGGAGGGCACTGATAAAACCCATGTGGTCATTTCTCAGGGTGGTGAAAAAAGCAAGAAAAGGAGTTGCGAAATAGAGATCTCCCATTGAAATAAAAGCATTGAAAGCATTGAAATAAAAAGAGGCAGGAAATCCTTGCTAATCTCTGTCAGAGGCTCTCACTACTTAAACAGCAACTGAACTATAACTATACAGGTCAAGCTAGTTTAAATAGGAGAATTCATCTTAAAACAGGATATTGAGAGAACAACTCGCATGACACTGTAACACACTCGAGTCTAGTATACTGGCACTGATGAACACTGACTGCAAATGTCTGCAGTGATTTCACAGTATCACAGAATATTTAGGGTTGGAAGGGACCTCTGGAGATCTCCTAGCCCAAGCCCTATGCCAACGCAGAGTCACCTAGAGCAGGTTACATGGGGAGGAGGTGTCCAGGTGGGTTTGGAAGGTCTTCAGAGAGGGAGACTCCACAACCTCCCTGGGCAGCCTGTTCAGTGCTCTGCCACCCTCAGCATAAAGCTCCTCCTCATGCTGAGGTGGAACTTCTTGAGTTTATGTCCACTGCTCCTTGTCCTGTCTCTGGGCACCACTGAAAAGAGCCTGGCACCCTCCTCTTGGCACCAGCCTTTGAGATATTTAGATGCATTGATGAGATCCCCTCTCAGTCTTCTCCAGACTAAACAGGCACCGCTTCTGCAGCCTCTCCTCGTAAGAGAGATGCTCGAGACCCCTCATCATCTTTGTGGCCCTCCACTGGACCCTCTCCAGTACAGGAACACTGACTGCAAACGCCTACAGTGATTTCGATGCAATCCCCTGGCACACATCACTTGTTGCCAGCTTCCAGCCCCGGACCACATCCCACCGCGTGTGACACACCAACAAGTGCGGGGTGGGCACCGCCACGCCGCTGTCACCGACCAGCGTCTCTGAGCGCTGCTTTCGCTTTCCCTGCCGCTCGGGCCTCCCTCCCCGTCTCGGGCCTTTCACAGGGGCACGGCCGAGCCCGACAGGAGCCTCGGGGAGGTCACGCCTTGTGCCCCCCGCCGAGGCTTGCCGGCAGGCCCGACACGGGCAGGACCCGGGCCCCCGGGCCCCCCGAGGCCCGCCGCCCGGCGGGCTGCCCCGTCCGGGGCACGCGCCTTCTCCTCTCCCCGCCCCGCCCGGCCTTGCGCCGGGGCCTGGGCCGAGCCGCCACTCACTCACCGCCGGCCCTGCGGCCCCGCTCCCGCCGCGGGCTGCGCCCGCCCGGCGCGGGAGGCGGGAGGGCGGGGAAAAGGGCCCCGCCGGCCGCGGGAGGAGCCGCCCGGTGCCGGCAACATGGCAGCGTCTCCAGCCTCCCAGGTGCTGCGGCGTTGTACCGCGCCCTGCTGCGGGAGAGCCAGCGCTTCAGCGGCTACAACTACAGGTGCGGGGAAAGGGCTCCGGGGGACGGTGGCACCGGGTCTCCTTGCCGAGGCGTGGGGGTCCCGGCGGCGCTTGGGGCAGGGCCGCGGCGCGGGGCAGTGCGGAACCCGGGGAGCCTCCGGGGGAGCCGAGCCTGCCCTGGAGGCGGGAGCGACAGCGGGACGCGCACTGTCCTGGGCCCGGCTCGGAGCGCAGGGAATGGGCAGCCCCTGGTCCCTGTGCCAGACCCAGGGCTGCCTCGAAAGCACCAGGGTATGGGCCATGCCTGCTGTAAGAGGAAGGGATAGGACAGAGACTGTCCCGACCTGGAGTACTGTGTCCAGTTCTGGGCTCCTCAGTACAAAAACAACAAGGACCTACTGGGTCTAGCAAAGGGCTGCAAAGATGTTTAGGAGTCTGGAGCATCTCTCTGATGAGGAGAGACTGAGGCAGCTGGGCCTGTTTAGTCTGGAGAAGAGAAGACTGAGAGGGGATCTTATCAATGCATCTAAATATCTCAAAGGGAGGTGTCAGGAGGATGGTACCAGACTCTTTTTGGTGGTGCCCAGAGACAGGATGAGGAGTAACAGCCATGAACTAAAACACATGAAGTTCTACTTCAATATGAGGAAGAGCTTCTTTACATTGAGGGTGGCAGAGCGCTGGAACAGGCTGCCCAGAGAGGTCTCTCTCTCTGGAGACATTCCTAATCCACTTGGACATGTTCCTGTGTAATCTGCTCTAGGTGACCCTGCCTTGGCACTGGGGTTGGACTAGGTGATCTCCAAAGGTCCCTTCCAACCTTAAATAAGTTGTGAACTTGACAAAGTTTGTGTCTAGTCTGGCTGCTGTGTCTCTCCTGGAAGGGAAGAGCCGGAGCCAGGTTACAGGCAAACCCTGCCACCATGTGCTTTGTCCAGGCTCAGGGTGCTGTGTGCAACAGGAGCAGGATTCACTTATCCTGCCACACAGGATGCTACACTGCCTGCCTGCCTGCCTTCTCTGGTTATCAGTGAAAGACACGCACTGTTTTTTGGCAAAGGTTAGGCATAAGCCTGGTGAATGTTAGATAATCTGCTGTGTGTACGGGGGGTGCTACCCACCAGCACTGCAAAATTGCATTGTCCACTGGTAGTTTGTTCACTTTTCCACTTAACTGGACCACAGGCAGAGACATGTGAGCTACTTTTGCAGTGAATCATCTCCAGCTGGGAAGAATTGGGAACAAAAGCCTCTGAACTTGCGTAACCGTGGTGCACTCTGTGCTCTTCAAGGCACAAGTATTCCACAAACCTCATGAGAAGAAAGACTGTGGGGCTGAAATTGAACTAGTGCTAATAAACCTTCATTGCCAACTCCACACAGCAGTTCAATCATGTTCCCTTGCTATCAAGGCCGTCTTCTGCTTTTCACTGTCCTGTGTATCCCAGGTTGCCCTGGTTCTGGCTAACAAAGAAAGGACTGTACGTAATGAAGATGGCTTGAGGCCCATGAGATGTGCGGTTGGTGAACAGCCGAATGAAGCTCTTGTTTGGGCCATGGCATGCTTTCTGCAATGGGTTTGTGCTGGAGAGTGAGCAGTGAGGAAGCTGAATCTGCAGCAGTCAGCGGAAGCAAGCCAGCACCACCTCACTGGCTGTACCAGTAACTGGTGGCACCAGCCTCACAGACTGTATATGGACCTCTCCCTCTGCTCAGCCCCTTGCTGCTGGAGCACAGGGGAAGTTGTTGTAATCTCTTGCCAATAAACCATACTCAGAGCCCAGGCCCCTACTTGAGATCCCCCAAAAAATGAAGTATGTATGTACCTGGATCACTGGCAAATTTTAAAGGATAGAAAACTAAGATATATGGTTACCTTGCATGTCTGATTTTTGACACCATATCAAAGTGCAAGTTGCCTCTTTCTGTAAGGGAAAGATCTCAGTTTTTGATGGGTCTGTCCTCAGACACTGTAAAATCAGCAACCATATTAAATCTTGTGGTGTATACACATTTGTGAGCACTAAAAGCAATAGCATTTTCTAGCAAGAAATGATCAGCAGCTGTTATGTTTAGAGATCTGCTGGGATGACAACAACAATTCTACCTCGGTGTTCATGCCACGCCCACAGGTAAAATAGATGCCCCGTTAGCTTCTTCTATGCCAAGATAAGCAGTCCTGCCGTGTCCTCAGGGCTGCTGTAATGTGATATGGCAATACACTGGAGTTAACCTAAGTGTAGTTAGGTTAGAACCACACTTAGGTTAACACTTAGTAAAGAACCAACTTGTAGCAAAGTAGGAAGTATTAGAGATTAATAGTATTGATTTGTGATTTTGGTTAGAGAATGTCAGAATACTTTGTTATTGCAAACAGTGCATATTTGTAAGTGTACGTCTGGAGTATGATCAGCTGTTTATTGTCTCCTTATTTGCTTACTGTGCTTTTTCTCCTGATTTTGTTGCTCTGTTTAACCTGGCTGGCAGCTAAACACCACGCAGCTGCTTGCTCACTCCCTGCTCCCCAGTGGGATGGAGGAGAGAATGGGGGGGGAGCGGGAGGGAAAGTAAAATTTGTGGGTTGAGATGAAGACATTTAATAGGACAAAAAAATTAATGGATAATAATAATAGAATCAGAATATACAAAACAAGTGATGCACATACAGTTGCTCGCCATCTGCCAACCAATGCCCAGACAGTTCCCAAGCATCAGCCCCCAGCCAGCTTTCTCCTTAGTTCGTATACTGAGCATGACACCATATTGTATGAAATATCTTTTGGGCCAGTTTGGATCATCCTGGCTGTATTTCCTCACAGATTCTTGTGCCCCTGCCTACTTGCTGGTGGGTTGGTGTGAGAAGCTGAAAATTTCTTGACTTAGTGTAAACCCTGCTTACTAACAGCTGAGACATCAGTGTGTTATCAACATCACTCTCATCCTAAATCCAAACTGCAGCACTGTGCCAGCTACCAGGAAAAAAATTATCTCTATCCCAGACAAACCAGGACAGGTGTACATATAGATTGTGGTGGAAAATTCAATATTTTTTGTTTATGACTTTCCTGGCAAATATATTCTATATGTCATCTAGTACTGCTGGATTTTCTTCTACCACCTGGAAGAACTTGACCAGTAACTTTGAAGAATAGCATTCATGTCTTAGAGTAACTGAGGTCACCACTGTCAATCTTCAGAATAACACAGGAGCATCTCCAGAGTCCTGAAGTAAATGTCACAGAGTGTTTAGAGGCCCAGATGTATAGGCCAGGTTTTAACATCAGGGAAAGAGAATTTAGTAGACTGTAAGTAATTTCATGTCTACCCTTCTGCCTTATTACCCATGCAGACAGTCTGAGGAAGGGAGAGTGACTTGTACTGGGGGAAAATCAATATGCAGAGAGGCAAGATGTTAGGTTTTGAGTCAAAAAGATGGTTTGTAATGAGTGTACTATTTTCTTCTGTGTGGTTGACAAAATTAGAACTGATGGTTTATGATATGTTGGATTACAATCTCAACTAAATGGATTTAAGGAGTATTTCTAAATATCATTTGTGATTTAAGTAATGGCATTATGTTGTGTCTGGTTTTGGCACAGAAAACATCTGGTTGTAAATGAAGTTTCTTGCTTGTTTAATATGACTGAAGCTCAGTGGTCTTAATACATGGGAATCTAGTGGAAGTTCTCTTCAGAAGGGCAGCGCAGGGCTGGAGCGGATCTCCCCTGAGAGCGTTTGTCATCTCCAATCTTGAAGGTTTCTGTGACATGTTTAACCAAACAGCACCATGGCTGACCTGACCTTGTTACATGTAGGCCTACTTCAAGTGTGATGTTAGCCTGGATAAGCTCCAGAGATTCTAGTTAAGCAACATTACTGTGATTTTCACATTCCTAACCTTCCCTGGCCTGTAAAGATACTAACAGTGAGTAAAGTTCAGGGTAGCATCATATGGCATGCTTCCAGCTCATTTCCTTTCTATTTCTTTAATTTCTTGTAGTTATGAGCAGTGTCAGAAGCTTTAAGTCTCTCTGTTGGAATTTTTCTGCAAATAATTTTTTTATGGTTTTTTTAAGGTCTTTTCTTGATTTATTGTAAATTTATTTCAGTTATCCATTACATTCTCTGTTAATTGGTGGATGTTGCATTTTTATTTATAGATACATTTTTTCCTTGTCTCTGTAAATTGCATTTTAATGGAATTGATTTTTCTATTAGAATGTGCAATATTATTTGATTAATAAAACTACCCAGTATATAGAAGAATCAGGGAAAAAAATTGCCAGAACAGATTTTGCATTGGAAACAAGTTAATTGAATGCATGCAGTTTCATCTGAGACATGTCCTTCAAGATTTTAAAACTAGTACATCTGATTTTTGCAAATCTCTGCTAGCCTAACAACAAAAGTAAACAAAATAATTTGCACTGTTTTTTCAGTGCCAGTTACTCCTCCTGCTTTGACCAGCATGGTTGTTGATCTGATTTTAGGGAGTCATGGAACATAGAGCCATAGAACAGTCTCAATATTGCTAGCTGTTGTTCTCAGGGGGGACTTCAGCTTATGGGATATCTGCTGGGAATATAATACAGCAGAGGGGAAGCAGTCTAGGAGGCTTCTGCAGTGTGTGCAAGATAAATTCCTAAAACAGCTGGTGGGGGAACCAATTAGGGAAGGTGCCCCGCTGGACCTGTTTTTTACCAACTGTTGGGTGATGTAACTGTTGGAGGACACCTTGGGCAAAGCGATAGTGAAACTACAGAGTTTTCCATTCTCAGAGAAGTGAGGAGGGGGATCAGGAGAACTGCCACCTGGACTTCCAGAGGGCAGACTTTGGCCTGTTTAGGAGACCAAGTGAGTCGCTTGAGAGGCAGTCCTGAAGGACAAAGGTGTCCAGGAAGGCTAGACATTCTTCAAGAAGGAAATATTCAAGGCACAGAACCAGGCCGTCCTCATGTGCTGAAAGATGAGCCAGCAGGGAAGAAGGCCAACCTGGCTGAACAGAGAGCTTTGGCTGGAACTCAAAGGGGAAAAAAAGAA